CTCCCCGCCCCTCTTCTTTTTTTTCTTTCTTTATCCAAACAGGTTTTCAATCATTTAAAAAAAATCAGTGTTTCAATCTTTTGTCCAAACGGTTCTTGTTTTTAAAATCTCTTTATTTCTTCGAAATTGTTTTTCAAACTGCTGTAACAAACAATTTTCAATGAAATTTTTTCCCAAACTGTTTTTAATATGTTTTTCCAAATACTTTTTCAATATGTTTTTCCAAGTAGGTAATCTAGTTATTTTTCACCCTGTTTTGTTTTTCAAAACAGTTTTTCCAATTTTTCAACCTGTGTCTGTCGGTGGTTGGCAGTTGCTCTGGGGTGGTTTGCTCCTTCTTTCCTGACAAACATCTGATTCTGTCGTATTCGTCCTTATGATCTCTCTTCCTTTTCTTAGTGTTTGTTACCCTCTTGCAACACCTCTAATCTCTGACACTTATATGACCGTATACTGTTGCAAGTCCCGTGGAGCTCTTACTAAAACCAAACGTAAGTATACACCCTCTAAAATCCATAAGAGTTAAGCAGGCTTCAGCCGCCACGCGGGTAAAATTCAAAATTTCATACCAACTTAAAATGTTTCATAATGTTACCCGCGCACTCATATGACCTTATGTGTCCCCTGGGTTTTATGCACCCCACATAATTTAGCAAATCTAATCATTTTTTTGCAAAATTTCTGATTATTTTCCTTTATCAGTCTTTGTTAAAATTAACAGAATCGAATAATTTCACATTTTTTGGGCTCAGTTTGCGCAATTTCATAAATTTGGTGTGTGCATAAAACCACAGGGACAGCCTTATGCAGTGCAGCTGCGAGCGCCGTAAAACACTTACAAAAGCAACAACAACAACAACAACAACAACAACAACAACAACAACAGCAACAACCAAACAAAGAAAACCACCCCCCCAAAAAAGCAGCAAACACCCCCCCCCCAAAAAAAAAGGAAAAAAAAAGAAACAACAACCCCAAACAAACCACCCTACTCTGTTCCCAGCGCTCATCACGGTGCACAGCAGATGGGAGGTGGTTCGCCGTTACCACCAGGACAACAAGTGGAACCAGCTGGTGAATAATGCCGCCTTCCTCTGTGGCATCGTGGCAGCCGGTGGGACCTTGATCGTAGCCACTTTCCAGGTGAGTCTTAGTCTTAACGAATCATTGGTTTAGATTGCCTTTCAACTACCTGTCCCCGGGGTATAATATCATAATGCAAAACAAACATTTCAAATTCTGAAATTATGCAAACTGAGCCCAAAAAAAGTGAAATTATGCGATTCTGTTAATTTTAACCCAAAAAAGTCTATTATCATAAGGCTAGATCTATACGGGTCGCACACTTAAAATAGTGCTCAGTATTTCACGGCAATGCGCGATAGTATCGAATGAAAGTACGACTTGAATTAAACCAAAGATAGTACATAACAAGGTGGGTCACTCAGCCAAAAAAGTGTCCGCCGGAAGTCCGCTCTTTGCTCCAGATGGTGCTGAAGTCTGTTTTGAAGCTCTCTTTCGTTTTTCCAGAAGAAGAATAGGAATAGCACCTCCTTGCGTGCGCAGATCGACTGCTGTTCATCAGCA